TGAGTGGTTATATTGTGCCCAACCCTTCGGGTGCCGGGTGCGAGGGTCTGCGGCTCTGAGTGAGGGAAGGTTCCCTCTTCACCTCCTGTCCTAAACTGCTTTTGTGCGCTGTTGCTGTGTGGCTGTTGCCTGGCTGCTTTGCTCCACCCCAGAGCTAGTCACATTTGAGCTGGGGGGAGCAGTGCCTATGCAGCGGGGGAGTTCTTTGGCATGAGAGCGCTCTGCTGGGGGGAGGGGCTCGGCCCTGTGGCCCACCCACTTTTAGCCTGGGTTGGGAGGGCAGCTGGATCAGGCCCCAGCCTGCGTGGTGTGGGGACACTGTTCGTTTCTTCTGAGTCATCTCCTGACGCCTGGGAGCGCGGAGGCCTGTGCAGGTCAGAGTCCCATGGGGCAGGGGCGGGAGGGAGAGTGCTCGGTCTGGACCCCGGGAGCCCTGCTTCCCCTCAGCGCAGTGCTGATACCTTCCAGGGGTGCAGCCCACCCCCCACCCCCCCACAGCTGCTCGGCAGCGTCTTCCCCTGCAAGGAAGTGAGGGGAGGGGAAAAGGAGAAGTGTGACGAGCACCTCTCCCCCCATTCCAAACCCGGCTGTGTCGGCGGGGGAGGAGTCTGACCCGGACTCCTGGGTCCGAGCGAAAGCTGCCTCCCCGTGTGCCCCAGGCCAGCCCCTGCCTTCTCCCTGGGCGCTGAGCTTGGCAAAGCAGCAGGCTCTGGCCTGGGAGCCTCCAGCAGCACCATGGAGATGGATTGTGCCCTGCAAATGCCTCTGTGCCCGCAGGGTCTGGGCGTGCAGGAGCCTGGGCAGCGCTGGCTCCAGGCGAGGCAGGGGCTTGTGCCCAGCTCTGCCCAGGACTCAGTGCCACAGGCCTCTGGAGAGCATTTGTTCCTGTGTCGCGCCAGCCACTGGCCCTAGTGTGAGTCCTGCTTGCCCGGACATGGCACGGGTGGAGCTGAGAAGGGAGGCCTCTTAGATGGGCACCCGAGGCCCAGGGCTAGCCAGGGCCACGCTGTGCTCTGTACAGAGCGTGCGCTGGCAGCGTGGTCTGATGGTTAGAGCTTGCGGTTGGCACTCCGGGTCCTATCCCAGCTCTGGGAGGGGCATGGTGTGTTAAAGCAGGCGGGGCTGGAAGTCAGGACTCCTGTGTTTTATTTCTGGCTCTCCCACTGCACTGACTCACCGTGTGAGCCGGGACACATGGCTGCTGCTCAGTGCCTCAGTTTCCCTATCTGCGCAGTGGGCCACGAGGCAGGCCAGGAGTGCTGGGATCCGGGGGTCCAAGGTTGCCAGAGAAGGCCTGGTTTGTTCGTCCTTTTTCAGTGCCCGGCCAGGTCCCAGTCTCCCCCACACGTGGGCTGTTGGCTGTCCCAGGCTGATGGCGGGGCAGAAGCAGGTGGTGTCCTTGAACCCCCAGTCCCTCCCTTCTCTGGCCAGCAGCCCCAGGCTCCAGCCACGGGGCCTTGCCGCCTCTGCTCTCAGCTCCGTCCAGGCTGGGGGAGTCCCAGGGGGCCGGGGGAGTGTTGCACCGTCCAGCACCGCGGGAGCAGGGCCGAGCCCTGGCACACGACAGGTTGTTCTCTGGGCAGCCAGGGCAGGGTGGCGTGTGGAGCTGATCCACCGCCCATCCCTGCTCTCCTGGCCGGGGCGGGTAGGGGGCTTAATGTTGTTGCACCCACTGCAGGGATCCCCCAGGGCTCGGCACACCCATGTGCGCTGGCTGTGGGCAGGCACTGGGGTGTGCTGCCAGGCCCACACTCAGCTCTGGGCTCTTGGGGGGCATGGGCTGGCAGGCTGCTGTGGGGCTGCACGCATCACCTGCCAGCCCCTATTGCTGCAGTTCTCTCCGCTACAGAGCAGGGCTGCATACCCGGAGCTGGGGGGCAGAGGGGGGTGCTGCCTGAAAACAGCCATGCCCATTCACACACCTGCTTGCACGTTCGTGTGTGCACAGACACTGACACACACTCGCTTGTCTGTGTGCTCCCCCCCCCCCAAAAAAAACCCATTCTACTCCTGTGTTCGTTGCCCTCCGCTCACTGTCATGTCAGCGCCCCAGAGTACAGATGGGGAAACTGAGGCATAGCAAGGGGAAGGGTCTGCCCTGAGGTCACGCACCAGGCCGGTGACAGAGCAGGGGATAGAACCCAGGAGTCCTGGCTTCCAGCCCCCCCGGCTCTAACCACTAGACCTAACTCCCCTCCCAGACCTGGGATAGAACCCAGGCGTCCCGGCTCCCAGGTCTGTGCTTTAACTTGCTCCCTCGCTCTCTCGCTCGCAGCCCCGGGGCACTTGCTAGGAGTTTGAGAGCAGGAAGTTTCTGGCTCTGGGGCCCAGCGGGTCCCTGTCCCCAGCCCCCCTTGCTTCTCTCTGGCTGGGAAAGCCGCCCCACCCCCTCCCCGGCAGCGCCTGGCGTGGACGCCCATCAGCCGTGGAGACGCACCGCTCTGCTCCGCGCTGGAGAGCATGACCGGCCTTGGCTGGCACCCAGGGAATCCCCGAGAGGGTGAGGCCATGTCCTTGGCTCATCCCACCTGCTGGTGCCCCGGGAAGCACCCGCTGTAGGGATCCGCCTGCCTGCCGGGGGAGGTGCTGGGCCATAGGTGGGCCTGGCACTGCCCAGAGCCGGCGCCCTCCCCCCCTCAGGGATAGCCCCCAAGTCCCTGGGGGGGGAGATTCATTTGCATATCACCCATAAGCCCTTGCAGCACAGAAAGGCGGGGCAGGGGGGTGCTGCGTTGCAAGGGATTTCCCCCTCCCCTCCAAGCTGTGCCTGCCATAGCCCTGAGAGGCAGCACGGGCTAGTGGCTAGAGCTGGGCTCTAACAGGACTCCTGGGTTCTGCTCCTGGTTCGGGAAGGCGAGTGGGGGCTCGGGGTCTAGAAAGGTGGGGAGGGGGGTTAGGAGCCAGGATGCCCGGGTTCTAGTAGTGCCTCTGCCAGTCCCTTCCCCTCCGTGCCTTAGTTTCCCCCCTGTTACCTGGGGCTCTAGGCGCTGTGGGAAGCGAGTGGTGCCTTGGCCCAGCTGCTCTCACCTCCCTTCCTGTCTGTGCCCGTCCTGCTTGGCTCCAGCCCGCGAGCCCAGGGCAGGGCCACCCCCCTGTTTGGGGGGCGGGGGGTGGACTCTCTCCTGTGATTTTCTCACAGGCTCTGCTCTTCCTGCTGGAGGGAGACAAGGCCCCTGGGTGTCCCCTGGACGCCCCCTCCCCCCCCCCCCCGGGCGCGCAGTTCTGGCCTCTCTGCGACGTCTGCCAGCAGCTGGCCAGTTGGCACCAGTGCAGTGGGAGAGGGGGGCAGCGGCCTGGAGTCTCCGCGTCCGAGCCCCTGAGCTGTCCCGTCTGCCCTGCGGCTGCCTGGTGCAGGAGCCCGAAGGCCGGGCATCTTCAGCGGCTCTCGGGAGCGGCACACTGCCCCCACCTCTCCAAATCCCTCACGCCCAGGCCCCCCTGCCGCGTGGCCTCCCGCCATGGCTGTAACAGCCGGAGCTGTTCTGGGGGGCCCTGCGGTGCCCGGTGCTTTTGGGGATGGGGGCAAATCAGGGCCGTGTCACCCGGACCAGGAGGCAAAGGTGCTGTCGCACCCCAGCAGTGGTGTGACTGGTACATGCCCCCTGGACATGTGTGACCCCTAGCACTCAGGGCAAGTGTGACCCTCCCTCCCCCCCACCCCGGCTCTCGGGACACGTGTGCATCTGCTCTCACACGAGGCTGCCCCCTTGCACACACTCCTCTGCACAGAGCTGCGTTCTGCCAGGCACAGGCCTGCCCCCTCGTGCGCAGCGCGGCACACACGGGCGTGCCAGTCCGGACGCTCCACGCATGCTAGTGCAAACTCTTGTGCACAGACTCCTGCGCTCGATGGATGTGCCAAGCCAAAGCCTCTCCCCCGACCCCCGCAATTCTGCGCCAGCCCCTATGCCCGGCAGGCCCCGCCACTTGCCATCTCAAGCCCCCTCCACCCAGGCCCCCATGTTGCTGCAGTGGGGCCATGTGCCCCGGGGCAGCTGCACCTCCGCTGGGAAGCCGGAGCGCCAGTCTCTTGTCCTCAGCCAACCCCAGAGCGCGATTGTTCCCCCACGTGTGCTGTGTGCCCAGCCGTCATGCACGGAGCCGAGACCCCGCCGGGGGTCAGCCGAGGACATGGCTCGCCTGCTCCCACCTCCCAGCATTTCCTGCCTCGGGGGGCCCTGTGGGGACCCCGCTTCTCCGCTGCCCTTTGATGCGTCTGCTTAGCTTGGCCCCGTGCCAGGCTGTCTGCAGAAATCCTTATGTTTGGATGGGAGGGAGGGGGGGGCTGGGAGGGGAGGGGAGGGGAGGTGGCTGTGTGGGGTGGGGGGGTTGCACGGGAGAGGGGCTGTGCCCTGTGCCAGGCTGCGGGAGGGCATCCAGCTGCTTGTTAACCTCTGGGTAACCTCGGCTGCTGTCAGCCAGGGGAAGGGGAAGAGGGCGGGCTCCTGGCTCGGGGCGGGGGGGGGGGAAGGTGTGTGCCTGGGAGGCTCTGAGCCAGGGGGGACCCAGGGCTGAGAGCCCCTGGGGGATTCCAGCAACCCCCTTCCCTGTGTCTGACTGTCCGTCTCACCTGTACCCCCCTTTCTGTGCCATCAGGGCAGTGTGATAGCCGGGAGGGTGGGGGCGTTGCCTGGGGGACAGGGATTTGCGGTGGGGCTGAGGGGACCCTAGTCACCCCCCCCCCCATGGCTCCTGTCCTTCACAGAGCGGAACCAGGCCCCTTCCCCCCCGCCCCCCGAGGGGCACAAGCGCCCTTGGCCCCTCGCTGGCCATGGGCTGGGGGGGCCATGGAGCCTGGGCTCCCCACTAGAGGGGGCCCTTCCGGGCAAGGCTGAGCCCCACGATGGGGGGAGGGGACGTGTAGGGGGTAAGAGCCCTAGCACAGCTCGGTAGCAGGGGGTTCTTCCGCCACTTCTGGGAGGGGAGTTAGTCCCTGCCCTCTGCCAGAATCGGGCCCCGTAGCTGCCATTTCAAGGCGGTGTTTATTTTTGTAGGGTCTCTCCTGTGGGATCGGCGCCCCTCCCCGCCGGGGATGGTGTCTGCCGGCGGGCGCTGAGCCGGGCGCCATGGGGAGTGCGCCATAGACACCCCCCAGCGCCCCACGTCTGCCGTGGTGGCCGCGGTGCTGAGCACCTGGGGGCGGAGCCCACCTTGGTCTCACCTGAGCACTCCTGGATGGAATTGCGGTGAATGGAACAGAAGCCCAGCACCCTGGACTGCCTGTCGGAGCCAGAGGAAACCCGGTAAGAGCTGGGGGAGCCCCGTGCTGCACCCCCTTCCTGCACCCTTTCTAAGCCCCCTGCACCCCCTCCCAACCCCCCCACATCCCCTGCCGCTCCCCTCTCCGTCCAGGGCAGCTGTGACCTGCCCTGGCCTAGGGCAAGGTCCCGTAGTGGTCCGTCTTCTAAGGGGATAACAGCCTACTTCTGTTGCTAGCTGATGGAGTTCTCCCTGCAGCTTGAGCTGCCGATCTGATGTCCCAGGTTCCAACAGGCCAAGGTGGGCGGCTGGGCTGGACTTGTCCTGATTCCCACCCCTGACTTTTCATGCCTGCGGATTGGCACTGCCCCCGGGGTTGGGGGTGGTGGGTGGAGGCGTTCAGCCCTCGGGGGAGGGGTTGGCATGGCTCAGCATTGGGGAGGGGCTGTCCAGACCAGGCTGGCTGCGGCCTCCTGCCCGTGCTGGTCCCTTTGTGGCTCGGGGCCTGCGGGCCCTGGACGTCTCTGAATTCACATGTGCTCCCACGTGGAGCTCTCTGGGTGAGTCAGCAGCCCCCTCTCCTCCAAGCAGAGCCGGGGCAGCAGGGGCGGGGGAGGTGTGAGAGATGGGGTTTGCACGAGCACGTACGCTAGTGAAGATGGGCGTGCCCGTGCATGCTGCAAAGAGTCAGTGCCAGCCGGCCCTGTTTCCTGGCTGGGCAGAGAGGGGGCCAGAGAACGGGTCCATTCTCCAGCGCTGGCACCGGCTGGGCCCCACTGGGTTCAGGGCAGCAGCAGGTCTCTCTTTGCCAGCAGGCAGGCAGTCGGCCCGCGCCGCTGCCCTGCGTTTTCACAGCCTCTCGCTCCGGTTTCCTGGCTCCGGTGCCCTGCCTGTCCCCCATGGCTTGGGGTGCAAGTGGCCCTGCCCAGCACTGGATCAGATGGTCTCTGCTGTCACTCCCTGTCCTAACTGGCCGTGCAGCGTTGCTGTGTGTCCCTTGCCGTGATCCACCCCAGAGCCCGCTGCATTTTGGGGGGGGGGGGGGGGGGGGGGGGTGCTGATCCCTAGTTATAAAAATCTTTGGGGTGGAAGCTAGATGGAAACCCCCCCGCCTGAAGGCCACGCGGGGTCAGCAGGCGGGCGGTGCTGGCTGAGGCCAGGGGGCAGGCAGGTTATGGGACGCTCGTCTCTGTCTCTGGGGCTGTGCTTGGGGGGGCGGAACCCAGACAGCTTGTGCCTCCAGGGCTGTGAACACCCTTCCCGTCACCCGGGAGCGTGCGAGGCTCGAGGTGTGTGCACGACCACGTGTGCAGGCCTCCGTGCACGCACATGCTCTCCCGCACTCTCAGGGTCCCTCACATCCCGGCCTTGGGTCACCAGCCTCTTAACCCTCACGCGGCCGTGGGGGAGCGCTCTGCTTTGAGGGATGCAGACCGTGACTACCCCTGTCCAGCACTCCCCAGAGGCAGGTGCCCCCCTACAGAGGGGGAAACTGAGGCACGGAGGAGGGAGGCAACACGTCCAAAGTCTCCCCGCACATCCCCATCTTTGGCCAAGAGCAGAGCCCGGGGGGGTGTGGGCCAGAGATGCACACCTGTGATTGGCGCACCTGGCCACCGGGTGGCAGTGTCACTCCACAGAAACCCAGACCCCGGGGCATTTACCTGGGCCGCCCCCTGCTGGCGGGGGCCAGGGGACAGGACAGGGGAGCGGGGGCTGGAGGGAAGTGGGGGCCGGAGCCAGCGCCGACACATGCTCCCTAGTGCTGACCAGCCCTGCGGAGCCACGTGGGGCCAGGGCTTTCCACCCCGCCTCTTCTGGAGGGGTTGGCAGGAGCCACTGGATCAGGTTGCCTGTGATTTACTGCTCCTGTCAGGAGGGATAAAGGGTCCCCGGCCAAGGGAGGCAGGGTGCTCGGGGGACAGCGCTGACTCATGGTTAGTACTGGCTCCCCACAGCTCTCCTGGCTTCTGTCCTCAGCTCCGGGAGGGGAATGGGGTCCAGTGGTTAGAGTGGGGGGAAGCTGGGAGCCAGGACTCTTGGGTTCCCTGCCTTGCTGACGGAGCGGCTTGCCCCTGTTTGCCCTGGGAGCAGTCTCCATGTCAGGCAGGGCGGGAGGAAGCCCGTTACCCTGAGGGCCCCTGTCCCCTGATGACCCAGCAGCCCCCACGAGGGCCCCATCCCCTGGCGGTGCCCAGCTGGTAAACAAGCTGTGAGAACTCAGGCAGGGCTGGGGCCGATTCCCCAGGAGAGCATGTGGCTCCCCCGTGCTGGGAGCTGGGCCAAGGCAGGGTCACCCTTGGATCCCCTGGGCAGCTCCGGGCCTCGGAGCAGGAGAATCCCCTTTTGTGGTGCAGCCCCACAGGGTTGGGCCCAGGCTGGGGGGGCTCTGTGCTGCCCGTGTGCCCCCTTCCCCTGCGCTTCTCTCCCTGCAGGATCGGGCCCTGGGCTGGGGGGGCTCTGTGCTGCCCGTGTGCCCCCTTCCCCTGCACTGCTCTCCCTGCAGGATCAGGATCCAGGCAGGGGGCAGTGGGGGACTCTGTGCTGCTCTCCCTGCAGGATCGGGCCCTGGGCTGGGGAGGGTGGGGGCTCTGTGTTGCTCTCCCTGCAGGATCGGGCCCTGGACTGGGGGGGGGCTCTGTACTGCCCCCCCCTTGCCCGGGGGGAGCTCTCTCCATGCTGCACGTGCTCTGCGCTGCGGCCCAGGCCCAGCCTGTCCTGCCCTCGCTATCTAGCCGGGATTTAGGTGGTCGGCCCCTGGCAGGCTGTAGGCAGCGTGGCACTCCCAGGAGCTGTCTGGTACCGCGCGGGCTGTCAACCCCACGGCGCGCGCCCCAATCTCCCACTCACTTCTGTGCGCTCGGGCAACGGCCGCAGGCTGCCGGGAGCATGAATGCCCAGGCCAGGGGCCACTGGCAGACCCAGACCTGGCACTGGATTGTTATTGGAGGGTCTGTGGCCAGGCTAGGCTGCGCCTCGCGCCCCCCCCTCCCCCGTTTGTTATTGTAGGGTCTGCGGGAAGGGACGGTGCCTGCCCCCCCCCCCAATATGTTGTTGGAGGGTCTGTGGGCCAGGCTGCGCCTCACCCCCCCCATTTGTTATTGTAGGGTTGCTGGGAGGGACGGCGCCGCACACGCTGGGTTGTTATTGTAGGGTCTGTGGGAAGGGCAGGGAGAACAAGTGTATTTGCTGCAATAGTTCTGACCCGGAGGGTCCAATGGAGCGTGCCAGGAATGGCTGGAAACATCTGGCCAGATGCTGAGCCCACCACTGGGCACCCCGCCCCGTCACCATTTGCCCTACCTGGGGGAAGCCAGCCCTCCAGCTGTGGAGGGGGCACTTACCCTGCAGGGACCAATCCCCTGACCACGCTGCTGCTGCTGGAACCGCTGTCCTCATGGGCCTGGCCTTCGCCCCACGGCTGTGCAGGGGGCAGCACTGGGCGTGGGGCTGGTCCCCTCAACTGCCTGGACGCTCAGCCTGGAGCTGGCTGTCGGGGAGGTTGGAGCATCCTGGCTGAGCTCGGGGCTGTTCATCCCGCGTCTGGTGGGCTAATTCCAGACACTGCCACTAGCGCGCTGGGGCCGGGCCAGGACCAACGCCCAGCCCTAGAGCCTCTAACGCGGGGAGCCGGCGTTCCCAGACAGAGCTCAGGGCTGGGAAACGTCACCTGGGAGAGGCAGCTTCTTGGACCTTCAGCTCTGCACAGGGGTCCTGGCACAGCCCCCCTGTTGTCCCGTCATTCCCTCCCCCATGGCTCTGCTGGTGCCCCACGAGCCCGACCCGCAGCCCCCTGCTGTGCCAGCCCTGGGCTCCCCGGGCAGGGCTGGGCCGGGCCAGTGCCCCTCCAGTCCGACCCACAGCCCCTTTGCTGTGCCAGCCCCGAGGCCCCTGGCTCCCTCCCCCCCCAGCAGTGCCAGCCCCCCACCCAGGAACCCCCCCCCCCACTGATCTTTTCCAGCTGTTTGCACCAATGGAATCGCGACATGCAAATGACTTGCTGGCCTCTGGCTGCCGATTGGCCGACCTGCCTCTGCCAGCCTGGGCCAAAAGGACATTTTGTCTTTGAATGTAACTGAGAGTGAAAAACCAGCCACGGGCCCTGGGGGCCACCGACCCGCCTGCCCTCCCCCCCCCGCCTGCCCTGCCCCCCGCGCCTGCCCTGCACCTGCCCGGTCCCCTACGGCCTGTCTCCCCGGCTGCCCTGTGCCCTCCTGCCCCCACCTGCCCTGCCCCCCGCGCCTGCCCTGCACCTGCCCGGTCCCCTACGGCCTGTCTCCCCGGCTGCCCCGCGCTCTCCTGCCCCCTGCGCCTGCCCTGCACCTGCCCGGTCCCCTACGGCCTGTCTCCCCGGCTGCCCTGTGCCCTCCTGCCCCC